GTATGCAGGCCTCATTATTACCGCTTGGCACCGGTATGAGCAGTGCTGCACCTGATAACTGGCTTTTACACATTCCAATTTCTGCATCTGGCTTTTGAGGTCAATTAGAGTTTAAACATGGAAGGACTTTGGTTCATCTAGGCCTAGTGCAGGAAGGTTTCATCGACACTCGTGGTCTTCCACCCTCCCAGTTATCTAGGGTTATGCCTAATGACACCAACAGAGTCATTATAGATAGTTCTCTGAAAACATCCCCTAAGTGTGTAGCAGCAGTCAAAAAAGCTAACAGAATGTTAGGAATTATTAGGAAGGGGATAGAAATAAGACAGAAAATATCATAATGCAACTATATCAATCCATGGTATGCCCACACTTTGAATACTGAGTGCAGTTCTGGTCACCCCATCTCTGGAGTGGCATGTGGAATACTGTGCCATGTAGGCGCCACTCCAGAGGGCACCAGAGCCCGTCTCCTACGGATACTGCTGAGGGAAAAAGTTCTGGCACCAGTGCATGTGGCGAGCACACACCCCTAATATGGAATGGACATGAGCAACACATCTCGAAGAACACCAGTTACGGAAAAGGGAACTGTCTTTGCTTTCACCTAAAACTCCTTTTTCTTCTTTAGATCTCAAGCACACCCATACATATGTTGTTGCAGTAGGTTTAGAGCATCTCAAAATATTTTTATTTACCTAAATCTAAGAGATGGTTTTGAGGAATCAGGGGGGCTCCATCTTCTATATAGCTGCTGGTGAACTTAGATATCAGATCCTTGCCCAAAGAAAAGTTCCTCAAACTGCTCCAAAGTACCCTTTCTACTAAATTTTTTATAAATTTTCTCCAGACAAAGCACATAATTCATAGTAGCCTCTAACAGTCTAATAATTTCCCTAGTAACAGACAATAACAGTTCATTATTCTCCTTAGCAGCAAAGCATTTCTAATAATAACAATAAACTTCCAAATTAGAGGCACCTAAAACCAAGGTCTTTGTCTAAACATTCCCCCTATTTTAATGGGACCTTCACTTCTTGTCCCAACCTCCCATTCTGATAGAAAAACTGCAAATGTCCAGCTATTTGGCTTTGCCTCTCAGGGCCTAAGATTATCCTAGCTCTGTGATGTTTGGTTTTCAGCTGACAGTGGCTGAACACACAAGATGGCTGACTACAGTAGTATCAAATTCTGGGGTACACGCAGGAATATCAAATTCAGGCGTATAAAACTGGCATGGCCCCACTGCCCTTCAGTTCTTCTAACCACTGAAGATGGAGCAAGCTTGGATCACATGCAATTTCCTGACACTTTCCTCATCAATTTTTCAGGTTTTTTTCTGCCCCTTGGAGGCAAATGTTCTTTATAGTTAGTTAGATTGTCATTTAATCACATTTTTTAAAAGAATAAAAAAAGGAGAGTTCCGAGGACTGCTTCATTCACCCCTCCTAATGTGGGAGGCTCCTCAGACGTAGTTGGTTAAGCTAATACTGCATATGTTCAGTGTCAACTTTGAAGATTTTTCCAAAGCTGCAAAATCCATTTCTTCTTCCAGGAGTGTCCCTGTGGGTGCTCCACTTTAGGTAATTGTGCGTCACTGCACTTGTAATGGGAGATTTGTGGTAGCAGTGCCTGGTTGGGTTGCACATGCGCTGTCCCCAACTTGCGCCACCTCAGGCAGTTACATAGCACCATGTAACCAACCCCTCCCCAGCCCCCTCAGTTCCTTGTCTACTGCCTTTGGCTTTGCCTTTCCAATTTTTGAACATCCTTTTTAAGTGTGGACACCAGAACTGGACATAGTATTCCAATAATGGTCTTATCAATGGTGCATACCTCCTCCCTACTCCTAGTAGCTGTTCTGCTGCTTATACATCCAAGAATCACGTTAGCTCTCATAGCATATTTGGGTTCACTTCTGTTTCCTCTGGGCTTGATATTGCTGAGAGATGCTGGGGAGGGGGGGTGAGGGGAGGAAGGGAGTGTAGGGCTGGCTTCAGTTCTTATTTGTTGGACCTTATCATTAACCCTCTGCCTGTTCAGTTTTCAAATATATAGAATTAAAATTTCAGATGTTTTTATTAATATGTTCTGTTGTTTAAACAGCCTGTGTTACTCTGCAATTCTGCTTCTGATGACACAGCTCACTTTGTGGAGTTCCTATAGCTGGCTGAGTAAAACACTAGCAGTCTGAAATAGAGGTCCACAGAGTTAAATAAGTGGCCTAGAAAAGAAAAACAATCTGCATTGTGACACACCCTGGCAAAATTCAAAAGCAGTATACAGTTGTTATCCTGGGAACCAGTATTTAAGTCTTCCCCCAGGGACATGCCAAAGCAGTTGTGCAACAGAGGTCTCAGGTTACCAGAGACATTTTGGAGCTGAGGTAGGACTGAAGCTCAAGGCAGATTAACCAGTACTTTGGTATTTCTGGTTAGGATTATCTGAAATTTTGCTTGTCACAGAGCTTGGGTAGAAGTTCAGGATTTAAAGACCCTATTGGGCAACACATTCTGAATTGACAATTAAAACTATTCTTTTTTGTTGTTTGTTACAGAGATGTGCGTTCTTTAATTTTGGAGCATGGCAAGTGGTCTATGGTAGATAGATACAGGAGATTAATGAAGGGCCTTTACACTGAGTCGCTCTCATCCTTTGTTAAGGGCTTCAAATCACATCTATATGTGGAGGGGCTAGTGCAAGGAAACTTCACAAGCAGAGTGAGTACTATTCTCAGCAGCTGAAGCCTGAAGTCTATATTAACTGGTCAAACCACCACTTTTAGAAGTTGTTCAAACACACTTGCCACAAACCCCATTTATAACACTGGTTTGCCAGTGTATAACTTTGCTTGCACTAGCAGTTTTAGGGGTATTTCACACCAGTGTAACTCACCCTATTAACCAGGGCCGGCACTTCCACCAGGCGACCCTAGGCGGTCGCCTAGGGTGGCAGGATTTGGAGGGCGGCATTTTGCCGCCCTCAGCAGAAATTCGGCGGCGGGTCCTTCACTCGCTCCGGGACCTGCCGCCGAAGTGCCCCGAAGACGCAGAGCGGAAGGACCCCCGCCGCCGAATGCTCAGAGGAGGAGCGCTGCCGCCTAGGGCAGCAAAAACCCTGGCGCTGCTCCTGTTGTTAACACTGTGGGACATCAAATGTAGACTGGCCACTGACGATTTCCCCCCCATGTTGTTTAAATATGCTCAGTAATTTTTAAACTCTGTGGTGGTAAAAAAGGCCAAAGCCTGTTCGTACTTGTGCTCCCAGTGTTTGTTACCAGTGGCGCTCCCAGGGTGCTGGTACAACTGAGGAAAACTTCCCTACAACTGCCAATGTAGATACAGCCTATGTAGCAAGGTCAAACCATATTAAGCCTCGTTAGGGTCCAATTCTGTTATCTTTACTCACACAAAACTTCTATTGAAGTCAGTGAAGGCTTTTTCCTGGTCACTGCTGGATCCAGCCATAGGTCTGACCTAGTCTAACTGACTTTTTAAAACATGGATATAACAGGGTTTGGCCCCATTGATACAGTGTCACGAACATTGTTGTGTAGTCAGTGAGTATGGGGCATGAACCCACTTGCTGTCTTCACTTTGTGTTTATCAGTTTTTCCTTGATCGGTAACGTTTGTCCTTGGATTGTCAAGCCTTTTGAGAAATACACCACTAAATTGGTGGGAGTGGGGATTCTTGTAATGACAAACATGGGCATTGGCTTTTAGGAGAAATTGAGGTTTAGCTCTGGGTATTATGGAGTCTTTGAGATGTTTTGCACTAAGTGCTGTAGTTTGTGAATTAAATAAATCTCAGGACCCTGGATGCCCTGCAGTTGCACAGTGAGGTCCTGCAGCACTTATCATAAACTGCTGTTTTTCCCTTGTTTGTTGGCACTGCCTCAGCAGGGGCCCAAGCTGCTCCTTCGCAGATTCCCCCTGACTCCTTTTGTGCATATCCCTTGCAGCTTAGCGTCTCAGCAGACTCTGTAAGTCATTTCTCTCATTCCCTTTCTTCTTTCTTGGCTTCCACGTTGGCCTTGTTGAGAGGCTACAAACTCCCAAGCAAGAGACTGGATTGGAGATGTCTGTTTCTTCCCACAGCATAATATAGACGAGATCATGCTGTCATGTTGTAGGGGAAGGGAGAGACTTGGTGCTGGGCTAGCCTCCCGCCAAAATGCTGTACTATGTGGCAAGGCTGGGGAGGACTGGACAGTTCTGTATTTGCTGGCCCCTTTCTGGATGGGTGTAGAATGTATTGGAGCTGATGCTTAAAGGGCTAATAATCCCATTCTTCTAAATAAAGCTATGTTTATGTTTTATCTCCTAGGAATCAAAGGATTTTCTGAATTATGTTGTTCTGTGAGTATCTCTCTTTGGTTCTTTCACCTTTCACCCTTGCGAGCTATAATTATATTACAAAGTTATAAGTCTTGGTTAACATTTTCTTTTCCTTTGTGGTGTGGAGAAGAATGTTGTAAACAATTGGAATTTCCATTTTTTAAAAAGAAATGTAGTAACTATATTGTCACTATTTTCTGGAAATCTTCTGGTTTTGGTGTTCGGATCTGATGGTGGTTCACGTAGGATGTGATTTTAGATTTGTTGTAGAAGGGGGAGTGGATTGAAGCTGTTTTGAGTATTGAGATATCTAGATTATGAAGATTATGGTTCTTAGTTTTGGGTTAAGGAATGGGCAAGTGTTTGACACTTTGCTGTTTGGACTCCCTTCAGAAAACTGCAGTTCCTTCCCTTGCCACACCCATGTCCTGTTCAATTTCGGGTGGTAGACCTGCCAAACACACACCTACTCTGCAAGGTGAAAACCCTTAACAGAGGTGATGCCAACTCTGAAGTGACAGTCTATTATCAGGTAATGTGTTAAGCATTTGAGTATACTCATTTATTTTCCTTGCGGTGACTGCTGCTACTAGTTATGCTGTCTGGATTAGGAAAGCCATCAGCATAACAATTCTCCAACCATTATTTTAAGAATATGTCTTGAATTCTAGTGATCCCATAAACACATGAACAAGGTCCAAGTTGCTAAAAATCCTTAATGAAGTTGTTGTCTGTATTATTTTGTGTGTGAAAGTTCTAGATCTATTATGCCTTATGCAGACATGTTCCATCCACTTCCATCCTGATATTGCCTTTCTTCCTCACCTTTTCTCCCCCAGATGGTGCCTTTGATGCCCCTTATTCTTTGAATACCTCAAGATTGTCTTTTTACCCATTCTGGTCCCTTTTGCCATGAGCAGCCCTTGTCTTCCACTCAGAGGGCTACTTTGAGGACACATCGGAGGCCAGAAAGTCTCAGATTGCTTTTTTTATTGCAAATTGCAATGTACTTAATGGTGAAATCCACTCTGACTGGTTCTCTCTCTCTCTTAAAAAGTTTTAGAGTAGCAGCCGTGT